ACAACAACAACAACAAATATTTGGGGAAAGGAAAACTATAGAGAAGAATAAGAGACTTGACCTCAAGATGTAAACAGAAAAACTGATCTGCTACACAAAGTTACAGATATTAAGACCAACAACACAAGTACAGCCTTACAGAGATTCCATCAAGTCCCCCTGACGTCTTCCATAGGGGCTCTTCTGTAGCTCCATGATTTCGGTGTGCAAGGACATGATCTGATCCTCTAGGTAGCCAATGACACCAACCTAAGATGACAAAACACACACACACACACAAATGGCAGGTTCACCACCACATAACACAGGACATAACTCAGACCATTTGGACTTGCTGCTGCTGAAGGACTAAGCGATTTAAAATGAGACACAGATTTTTGTTAAATGCTTTTTACACTTAATCTTTCACATAACATATTTATTCCTATACTTCTTTGTTTTCTCTCCTGATAAAAGTAAATCAATAGTAGCTGCTTTTTTTCCCTTTTGAAAAGCAGAGATAAAACTTTTTATCAGAGGAAGGAATCATCAACTTTAGGATTCTCACTGCCTCGTATTCCTGATGGACTTGAATATGAACACAGAAAGACAGACATTGGAGCTTCCACTCATGTCCTCATGAAACAGGGCAAATGATTGGCATCAAAGACAGCAACAACCCAGTGGAACCACAAACAGACATACAGGGCAAGCAAGAAATCTGCCACCTAGAAAATGATGTGTACGTACAATGACCATGTAATTTACTGTCCAAACCAGCACAGTTCTGAGAATGAAGAGACTACTCTTGATAATTATGGCAGGACATCAAGAATAAACTGTAACTCTCCCAGGTAAACCAGGATCTGTAGTCACCTTAACTAAACCACCCATAAAAATAATAGTGGTAATTACCATTTATTATTAACTCTCATTTAATCTCTATAATCCTACTAAGAAAGGTATCATCATAATAGAATAAAGGAACTTATACCCTGAAAGGCTAAGTAATTTGCCCAACATCCCACTTTTACACCCTTGTTCTTATCCTTCATTGTAGCACTATGTATATATACAAAGCATCTATTAGATATTTGTCTAATACTCAGAAATGACATGAAAACAACTTTTTATAGCCAAAGGAAATTTCTAAGAAATTAATCTGAACAAAGAATGAGCTCAGCAATTTTACCTCAGCATAGTGGATGGCCTTTTCTTCCATTTCTTTCCATGCTTTTAACATTTTTTCTGACGCTTGAGAAAAAAGAAAAAAAAAAAAAAAGGTCTGAAATTGGTTACCAGAATTAGCCATGGCACTGTGGGTTAATGCGTCAGACTGCAAAGTTGTTTGAACTACAAAATCGGTGGTTCAAGCTCACCAGCTGCTCCTTGGAAACCCTATACAGGGTCGTTATGGGTCAGAATCGACCCAACGGCAGTTAACAATAACAACAACAAATGACTAGTTTGCTCATAACTATGAGCTCTGGTAGCATAATGGTTACGAATCGGGCTGCTAACCTCAAGGTTGGCAGTTCAAAACTACCAGCTGTTCCACAGGGGAAAAATGAGGCTTTCTGCTCCCATAAAGATTTACCGCCTCGGAAACCCTGTGCAGGATCACTATGAGTCGGAACCAACTCCATGGTACTTAACACCAACAATGACTGGTTTACCTATTCTTCTCATCAAAACAAATAAAATCAAATATTTTTGCTTTTAAAAATGCAGAAATAATAAATACATGTTTTGTTTTGTTTTTTTCAAATCTAACACTGCATCTTTTCTTCTTTCCTTCCTCTTATGTAATTATCTGATACATAGACATATATCTTTCCCCTCTAGCGAGACCATGTATACATACTTAATTTCCTTGGTTTTCCTCGCAACCTAAAACAGCATAGCCATTAAAGATCCAGGTGATCTTTTAATAGCAGCACACAAGAGCTACTTCATTCTTTTTAAATAGGTGCATAGTATGCCTTTGACTGATCAAAGGTAGTTAATGAACAAATTAAGACATCAGAACCAGCTCTAATGAGTATATCCATCTACCCAACTGGACAGTCTGATATTTTATTCTGAGATTCACATACCCACCCTGCTCAGGACAAGTATACAAAGTGTATTTGATTCCCCCAAAAGAATATGTGTCATGAAGTAAAAACAGAAATGCTGGTGATGATACCTTTAGTTTACTCAACCTTTAACTCTGTTTTTTACATTTCCTCAGTACATCTGAAGGGAAATAAGCCTGCACTCATATAATGAAAATTTGTTGGCTTTATAGAACAAAAAAGAGTAGGAGTCCACAATAGGTGGTTTGGAAAAAAACATACCTCCAGAATTATTTATTAATTATAGAAAGGTAAATAGTTTTTAAGACGCTTCTGGCTAAGAGGTCAGCTCAATACAGACTTTGTAGCTATTTTTTTAATGACTTAATATTGACAGATTTTTAAATCACTTCTACATTTTTCTGGAACCAAATAATTTTAGTCCAATTATGGGGAAAAAAAAATAAAGCTGACCAATTAAGGGTTCGTTTTTTTTTTTAAAAAAAGCAAGGCTGACATTTAAGACAGACGTGGTTTATAATCTGAGTTGTTCTATCTCTTCTTCCAATATGAATATCTCATTAAGACAAACAACTGGTTATGAGTCAAGAAGGTAAAACACCCAAACACTTACATATCCCATAAGTCATCTGCTCACTATATCTCTCCAAGTCAAGCTGAATGCTTCTTTGAAAAAACTCAAGTTTGGCTTTCAGTTGCTGAGCTGCTGAAATCAAAGTGTTCTTCATTTTTGTCAAGTTAGCATTGTATCTAAGAAGACTTAACCTAAATCAAAACAACAACAACAACAACAACATTATCACCATATTAGAAATAAAACATTGAATAATGTTTTTAATCTTAAAATGCCATGAACCCAAAGCCTAATTTCTATCATTAATTTATGAGAAGTAGCCAATCTCTAGAATCTGCTCTCCCAAAACTTTCTATGATAATCTATAATAAAACAATCTATTTATACTACAACCATTCTTCTCAAAAGCCACTACTTTTTATGATTTCAGACCATTAGTAAGAATTCTGTACATCTGATCAGAATATGCAAATTGGCCCAATTTTTAAGTCCTACACAGAACACTGAATGGTGTAAATTGGCAAGATTAATTCTAAGATTAAAAACATGGAGTCCTGGTATGGCACTTTAGGATAAGCACTGAACTGCTAAACACAAGGTCAGTGGTTCATGCCCACCAGCCACTCTAAAAACCCTACTACAAAGTCACTATGAGTATGAACCACTCGATGACACTTAACAACATACAATATAACATATAATACTGTATATCATATAAACAATAGAATCTGCTTACATTGCTGCTCTTTGTCCCTGAAAGAGCCTGCTGTAATCTTCCTTTAGCCCAGATACATAATGCACTGCTTCAGCCCATACTTTACGTAGTTGTATAATTGGTAGCTGTATTTTGCTATCCTGTACTATATGCAAAAAGAGAGAGAAGTTATTTTTTTAACTTGTGGTTTGAGTGAAAGTTTACAGAGCAAATAAGCGTTCCATTCACCAGCTGGTACACATTTTGTTTCTGAACATTAGTTGTAATTTCCTCAATAGGGAGATACTTTTTAGCATCTTAAGGAGTCCTGTTATGGTGCTGTGGACTAATGAGCTGGACTGTAAAGTCGGTTTGAACTACAAGGTTGGCAGTTCAAGCACTCAAACTGTTTCTTGGAAACCCTGTACAAGGTGGCTATGGGTCGGAACTGACTTGATGGCACTTAACAACAACAAGTATTCACTTACCATTTTCTGTGATTTACTGGCCATACAATTAGCATTCCCATAGATATTAGAGAGAACCATTTTTTACCAATACTGAGCACTCTCAATACACAATTCTGTTCCAGGCACAATGCAGACCCTGCTAATGCCTGTCTTTATGTCCTTGTATCTCTTCAAACTGGAATTCTTTTTCTCTCCATCAAAGCACAAGCTTTCTTTCTTCTACGTTCTAAATCACGTCCCATCACCTTTACAATCCATCATGGTCTTTCCTGTCTATAATAAATTTCATCTTTTGGACCACCAACCAGGCTTCAGGAAAGCATACAGGGTGAATAGTAGTCTAATAAGATACGTTGTCTTCAATGACACACTTATGAAATTGTTCATTTATGGAAAGGGACTATGGCCCGAAAACTGGGGGGAAGAGGGGGAAGTGTAGGGGACGGATTTCTGGAATATACCCTTTGGGTGGTTGATGATGCATGGAGGGAATTGGAACCATGGCAGTGAGATGATATATGATGGAATGAATGTAACTGAAGTTCCCCCATGTAAACTATCATATAATTCACAATAAAACATTTAAAAAAAAAAGAGTATGTGTGGGAAGAAAGAGTCCACACTGAATAGTTTTCATCTTGTCTAGATGGGTCTGTTTAAAAGAGATGGGGATAAGATTCTTATGGTTCAATAGTGAGTAGTAATTATAATGACTAATTGCGAGTGTCACATTTGTAAAGGTAGAAGTTTTATAACAAAAGTTGGGGAAGTGTGGTGAGACCTGGAACACCTGAGCCCGTGGACAAGGACACAGCCACGAAGGCCTAGAGCTGAGAGTGAGGCATCCAGCTAATAGGAAGTGAGGGGAGACGAACAACAACCCCCTGCAACTTGAAATAGTACCCATTTGACCTAGCTTTGATGGCTACATGATCAGAACTCGACTACAGGAAGATAAAAGAAAAAAATGATAAAGGAAACAAGTGTAAATTGTTACAATTTGAACTTGACCTATACTTATGGATACAGTAGCTCAAAATACCAACTGAGAGGAAAGGAGTCTTCACATCAAGGATCAAACCTATCCCCTCTGTACACAGGGTTGATAAGGGCAGGCAACTCATACACTGGCTATCTAAAATGAGGGTAGGGGGCTATAAAAGCACAAAGTGATTGGCTTACAAGTTTCCAAGAGGGAGTTTAGTTTCAGAGTATGCGGGGGAATGTAGAATCCCCACTAAATACTTTTCATCTTTTCTAGATGGCCTGGTGAAAAGAGATGGGGTAAGATTCTTATGATTCAATAGTGAGTAATTGGAGTCCTGGTGTGGCGCTGTGGACTAATGTGTCAGACTGCAAAAGTTGTTTGAACTGCAAGGTCAGTGGTTCAAACTCTCCAGCTGCTCCTTGAAAACCCTATACAAGGTTGTTATGGGTTGGAATTGACTCGAAGGCACTTAACAACAACCACAACTGTTATCATGACTAATTGCAACTGTCTCAACTGTAAAGGTAGAAGTTTTATAATAAAAAGGGGGGAGCAGTTAATTTCACAGTCTACGAAAAGAGGACCCTAGGACCATCAAAGGTGAAGAGCATGAGTGGAATGTGGGACCCTATCCAGAGAAGCAATGACACCAGAGATGGAGGCAGAAATGAGGACATGGAGAAAGGGAGCAGCTGAGGACTCTAAACTCATGCAAAGAGGGAGGCTGTGTGCTGGCGGGCTTGAGGCTGGCTTGCAGAATGTGCCCTGTGGTTGTTTAAATGATTATATATTACTGAGTGTTTTTGTGTACATCCAAAAAAAAAAAAAAGGAAATAGAAGCAAATATTGTTGAATGATGATGCACGGAGGGGATTGTATTAATTGCAATGAAATGAAATACGACAGGATGAGTGAAAAACTGATGTTCTTCCATGTAAAGTATCACTCAATTCACAATAAAAACTTAAAAAAAAAAAAAAGGGCTCTGTGGAAAATACTCTGCTTCCTCTAATAATTATTACTAGCCTTAATTAGTTTCTTTTATCCCTACTTTCTTATGTTGTCTTTTCTATAATGGACTAAAAGAAATCTGAGGAAGGAGGAGTTGATTAAAAAATTTAAAAAAAATAAACTCTAAAAGACTAAAAAGAAAGAAGACCCCAGTAGCAATAAGTCTATTAAGAATCTAGACCTTGATTTCTAATACCATTCTCTTTGAATAAATGGCTGATTTCTGGGACTGGGTCAGGAAATACAGAAAATGAGCCTGGAGCATATTATGGTATTAGAAAATAAGGAAGTACTACAAAATAATTTTTTTAATCCCATATTGATGGGGGGTATGTCAAAGGAGCACATGAACCAATTAAAAGAGCTCCCCAAGATCACTTCACTACTAATATATATATATATATATAT